TTTTAAGAGTTTAGAAGTTGAAATTGGTCCCCAGATCTTGATAATCGACTACAAGTTGACCTTTCCAAGTGGGATGGCAACCGCAGTTCTCATCAATGGATTTCATTCCAGAGGTGACAAAATGGCCAAGTAACTATCCTTTTTACCTCTCAGTTCACTTTTTATTTGCATTTTTACCAAATGTTTCTGTGATCAGACGTAAAATGATTTTTTTGCTTCGTTTTGTAGAAAGCAAGTACGAGGTTTCTTGAAGTGTTTTTCGTTCAGTTTTTTCTGGGGTTTTTTCCAGTGGTTTTACAAAGGAAAAGATGATTGTGGGTTTTCACAGTTTCCTACATTTGGACTTCAAGCTTGGAAGCAAACGTATGTTTATATAATCCGCACAATTTATGCTAGGTTTTACAATTTACAGAGGGAATTTTCTTGGTTCTTACTGCCTGCAGATGATGTTTTCTGCAGGTTTTATTTTGATTTTAGCATGACTTACATTGGGACTGGAATGATTTGTTCCCACATTGTAAATTTATCTTTGCTTCTGGGAGCTGTGCTTTCATATGGCATAATGTGGCCACTCATTAGAAATCTTGAAGGAGAATGGTTTCCAGCAGATCTGCCAGAAAGCAGCATGAAGAGTCTTAATGGTTATAAGGTTTCTTTTTTTCTCTCCTCTAATTGACCTCAATCTCGTGATTGTTAAAGATTTAGTTTTATGAATTTACGTGGTCAACTGATGTCGTTTTGTAATTGACTTCGAACTATTTTCCTGGATCCTAAACATATTGCGGGTTTTTCTACTGTCATCGTTTTCTTGGAAGGTATTCATCTCCATTGCTCTCCTTCTAGGAGATGGGCTCTACAATTTCATCAAAATCCTGAGTGTCACCCTCATCAATTTTCGCGGAAGGTTGAAAAGTAGAAATCCCAACTCAGGTATGATTTAATTATACGGGACAAAGATCAACTTGAGTTTGTATCAATGCTTGTTGGATTGTGCGGTACCTAATTATACAATACACTTGACTCCTTCACGGAAACGAAAATCTGAAACACCACATGGGCATAGCTCTCAACGCTTGGGCTTTGCTTATACTTCACTCTGTTTATAATTGCTTTCTTACTACAGCCATTGCCGGAGTTAGTGAGGACAAGGCTCTCAAAGATCTCAAACAAGATGAAGTTTTCATTCGGGAAAGCATTCCCATGTGGGTAGGAGCTGCTGGTTACATAATCTTAGCACTGATATCAGTGATTGCAATTCCATTCATATTTTCAGAGCTCAAATGGTACTATGTTCTTGTTGCCTACATTTTTGCTCCATCTTTAGCCTTCTGCAATGCATATGGAGCTGGTTTAACAGACATAAACATGTCCTACAATTATGGGAAAGTGGGCCTTTTTGTTATCTCAGCAGTGGCTGGAAAAGACCATGGTTTAGTAGCAGGAATGGCAGGTTGTGGTCTAGTCAAGTCCATTATTTCTGTTTCCTGCATTTTAATGCAGGATTTCAAAACAGGCCATTTGACTCTAACATCACCTAGAGCAATGCTGTTAAGCCAGACATTTGGGACATTTTTGGGGTGTGTAGTTTCACCCTTAAGTTTCTTCTTATTCTACAAGGCATTTGATATTGGGAACCCTGATGGAGAATTCAAGGCCCCATATGCTATAATCTACAGAAACTTGGCAATTCTAGGAGTACAAGGATTTTCAGCTTTGCCGAAACATTGTTTGCAACTCTGTTATGGGTTTTTCGCATTTGCAATCGGGATTAATGTGGTGAAAGATTTTGCTCCAAAGAAGATTGGGAAATGGATGCCACTTCCAACCGCAATGGCAGTGCCTTTTCTAATTGGAGGATATTTTGCTATTGATATGTGTGTAGGGACTTTGATTGTGTTTTTGTGGCATAGAATTAACTCTAAGAAGGCAGAATTGATGGTTCCTGCTGTGGCTTCTGGTCTAATCTGTGGGGATGGTCTCTGGATACTGCCTTCAGCAATTCTTGGTTTGGCAAAAATACATCCCCCTATTTGTATGAAATTCTTGCCTGCCTAGAAGAAAGGAGAGGTTAATTCCATTGTATTTCTGTAATTCATAG